CTCCTCCCAACAGATGGAAAACGCAGAAACTCTCAAAGCGGGAGAACAATATTTTTTAACTTTTGATCTCTCATGATTCTTTTTGCTTTCGTATCACAGCGGCAGTCAATTCCTGCGACGATGGATGGACTTTCTAGAAGAGAATGCCGATCTGCGATATCCCGACGCAAGCGAATATTTATAATAACCATCGGATAAGCCCACTCCAGGGGCACAAATTTCCTTCATCATCGAGAGGGAAGTCCCGAAATGTCGAAAAAGCCATTATTATATCAGGAATTTTCAGAAATGTTGTCATACTCCAGCTACCCTTGAGCTAAGAAGGACTGTTTTTTCTCAGGTCATATCAAGCAACGTGTTCGGGCAACACATGTGGAAAAGTAGCTAGGCGAGAAAGCTTATCTTCCTAGAGGAGCAGAAACTTATCAACCAAATGGTTACAATGTTTCATGGGAAGGAAAATATTTAAACCATAGGAACCGGCAACTAGCTAAGGTGGCTTCAAGTGGACAGTCACTGAGTCGTAGAAGTGGTATGAATATCGCGACAACAGCCAAAAAGAGATAGGTTTATACCCGTTTTGGATCATAAAATCAAACAAATGGAAGCACATCCATATGTGATGGATAGAAGCACATTTTTTTTTTCTCCCAGGAAATGAGTGATGCTCAACACGGCAACCTCTCGACACTGGAACTACCGCTTTAAATGTGGAAACACAGTTTTTTGAAATGGTTAGACAATTAATCAGTGAGTTATGTGGAAGATCTTCTTTTCTTCACTCCCAACATTCGGACCTTCTTGTTGTCCCACAACAAGTTTGAAACCATGTGTGAAGGAGATATCAGCTAAATGTCAAACCCCGAAACTATGCCACGATCCCATGATTACCGCTAACCAGCTTCCTGGGTGCCTGCTGCTCACTTGGATAAATTGAGCGCTGAAGACCATGTTTTAACACACATGTTATTAACTAGCAACTTGGACAAACCAGTGTTAGATTAGTGAGATGATAGCACACCGCCCCCTTTCACAAGCCTTTTACTCAGGGATACCCCGCGATTTAACGCGATCGGTGATGATGGCGCATGCGGCTAAATAATTTATTTCGTCCATGGATCTCTGCCCTGTGTCAAGCTTCTATTCTGGCTCACATGAGGGTTTCCGGAATTTTTATCGCCAGGGGATCGGGAACAGAGACGGGGCAATGGATCAGGGTATCAATATGAGATAAGCGACATGTCAATGCCGATAGTATCAATATCTGTATTGCTATTGCTTTTTCAAACTGTTTGTATTGACAAGAGTCCGTGGCAAGCTCTTAATATGGGATTACACATACACAAGGAGCAAAAATCCCAAGTCTCCGGTTCTTCTACAGAAACAATTTAATCATGAACGAGGTGCGTTGTGCGAAATTGACGAGAATACGTTGCGAAACTTGGTACGACTCGTCGTTGATCAAGTAATCAACTAATATATCATTCTCAGGTGAGGGATTGATATTTCATGAGATCTGTGCATAACCTGCGAGGCTCGGAAAGAAGACTACTATTCAGACAACGTCGGGGTGGTTACGCAGGGTCTTTTTGGGTCTGCGTTTCTACGCAGTAGACATCTCAGATACCTGTGGTGGTTGAATGACTGAGCCAACCAGATATCCGGGTTATATAGGTTGGGTTCCGTGTTTACATGGGTCGCAACATAACACCCCGATAACGAAAGGCACACAGGAGCAACGGGCAGCTTTTCTCCATTATTTTTCTTCTCCCTTTCTTTGAGCGTAGAGTTGCTTCTATTCGCCTATACCATGGCAAGCGGCAAAGAGCTGGTAAGCATACTTTCCAACTATTGGGCCCGCCTCATTTGGAAGTAACACTCTGTTTCATCGGACCGGCCAGATTCCTGACAGATGAATAGCATGTGAGGAAGACCTCAATGGATCTGGGGAGGCGCGCATCTGAGCCTGCCGTTAACAGTTCATGAAACGGGTTCCACGAATGTGGCACCAGATATGGATAGGGGAGCAGACAGGGCGGGCCGGACTGCCAGGATATAGGCGGGATGGGCAGTCGGGGAAATATGGCTCCGACTCTCATTTTGCAGGCAGATGTTGGAACCTCTCATGGCCCCCCCCCCCCCCCCCCCCCCCCCCCTTTTTTTTTTTTTTTTGCCCCGCCGGGGGGAAAAAAAGAGGGAGAAAAATTCTCCATATTTTAAGAAGGAGGAGGGGGACCCCCCCGGGGCAACCCAGGAGGGGGGTTTGGGGGCCCCCACAGGGAAAAGGGGGCCCCGCCCCCCAGGTTTTGGAGAAAAAATTATATTTTTTGCGCGGGGGGGGGCCACCAAAAAATTCTGCACCACCACCTTTCAAAATCTTCTCTGTTCAGTGGAAAAGTGAAGAAAGAGTGGCTGCCCCCCCCCCCCCCTTGTGTGTTTTTCACCCACAGAATTAGCAGAAAAATACAAATTTAGAGTGTTTTTTTCCCCCGAGAAACCACACTTCTTTTTGGGGTGAG